CTACTGAATGATCCTCAAGTAGCAAAGCTGGCCAGGGACACCTGGGTGGCTCAGTGGTTGAGTGTCTGCTTGCTGCTCAGAGCATAATCCTGTGGTCCTGGGATCGAGTCCACATCAGGTTACCCAAAGGAACCTGCTTCTCCCTCTGCCTGTGTCTCTGCCTCTCTCTGTGAGTCTCTCATGAATAAATAAATAAAATCCTAAAAAAAAAAAGCTGGCCAAAGAATCACAAAGTCTAAAGTGAGAATAAGAACTAATACTTACCAAGTGTTTAAGTATCAGGCACTGCACTTGACCTTTACAACATCTCAATAATACAGTAATCCTATGAGGTGAGTGACACTGTCTCCATTTTTGAAAAGAGGAAACCAAGGCTCAGAGAGCTAACCCAATGTTGTATACAGCTTTAAAAATAACAGAGCCAGCATCTGCACCCAAGGGATCTGGGGCCAAAGTGAGACCCTATGGAGCTGCCCCAGACTGGGGCTGAAGGGTGGGGGGGACTCTTAAAAGAAAAACCCAGGGCTCCCAATTAACCAAGAACAGGGTGGTTCCAAAATGTTTACTCACACACAGGCTCAAATGCTAATTGTATGCTACTTCAAAGAGTCATATTTCCTCTTGCAGGCTTTGCCTAGGAACCCACTCTCAGGCTGAGCTAGACAATTCAGCTCCAATAAAGCAACCACCAGCCCACGGCCCACAGAACCTGGAGGGGCTGACCAACACAGACTTGGAAAGCTGATAGGCGTGGAGGAAGCGAGAGGCAGGTGGTAGGCTGACACGGCCAAGTTAGATATTTTGGACCTGTATCAGTTGTCACAAACACATTATGGGGGGAAGTAGAACTAGCATACACACGAGAGAGAACCACAGTTAACTGACACAGTCTGTTTATACCACCTTTCTCTGCCTCAGACACTTGCTATTTCTGCCGCACAGATTTGCTGGGCCCAGTAACTTTCGGATGGCACGTAGTCACGTAGTCACGTACAGAGGCAGACAGCTGGGAGCTCCCTGCCCTGACAAAACAGGTTAGACTGGTGCCAGTAAGCTCCTGGGCCACTGCTGTGTGCATCACAGGGCCTGGAGGTGCTGCTTTCAACTTCCCTGGAGAGTCTGTCTCTGGTCACCTTCCCTGATAGCTACCTGGGTCTGCTGTCAGGGAGGTATGCTTATAACTAACTGTCTCTTGCAATTTATTTTTTGGTTTTAAGATCTTATTTATTTATTTATTCATGAGAGACACACAGACATAGGCAGAGACATAGGCAGAGGGAGAAACAGGCTCCCTGGAGGGAGCCTGATGCGGAACTTGATCCCAGGACCTGGGTATTACAACCTGAGCTAAAGACAGATGCTCAACCACTGAGCCACTCTGGTGCCCTTGTCCCTTGCAATTTGAAGGTTGAGCATGCACCGTGTGTCTTTTACTGTCCTCAGATCCTTTGCCTCTGAGCAAGAGCTTAAGATGGGATCTATCAGTGCACACCACTCCCAATAACACATCAACTCTTGGGGGATGCCTGGGTGGCTCAGCGGTTTAGTGCCTGCCTTCGGCCCAGGGTGTGGTCCTGGAGTCCTAGGATCGTGTCAACTCTTGGGGCGCCTGGGTGGCTCAGGCCACGGTCCCAGGGTCCTTGAATGGAGCCCCCGCATTAAGGCTCCCTGCTCAGTGGGGAGTGTGGTTCTCCCTCTCCTCTGACTCTTCCCCCCATTCCTGCTCGTACTATCTCTCTCTCTCAAATAAAGAAATAAAATCTTTTTTAAAAAATCAACTCTTCATTGAGGATAATGAGTTGGAGAGAGTGCAAGGAAAGAAAATCTCTTTCCCCTTTCCCATTTTGTCTCCATTCCAGGCACAGGGCTCCAGAAGTCCCATGGATATAAGCAACAATTGAAAGGTCACAGAAAACTGATAGTGTAATATAATTTAAAACAGGGAAAAGTGGGTATCAAACTAGATGATTTGAGGAGCATATTAAAATGCCATCATAAATGCCTCCAAATGGGGGCAATGATGCAATGAGAGGTAATTCAGCTTCCACAGGTAAAAAATGGAAAAGCACAAAAGAGTATACAGTGATGTTTCCCTCCCACCTCAGGTCACAGCAACCTAGTTCCTCCCCCACCCCAAAAAAAAAAAACCAATGTTACTAATCTATTGATTATCCTTCCAGGGATATTTTATATCAGCAAACATAGTTACTTATCATAACTTGTTATAAATATTAAAGCTTTCCCTTTCAAATTAAAATGCCACTTATATATTTTTAAAGGGGCAGAAATTAACATTTTTTTAAATTTCAAAGAGATTTGAAACTTGCAGTTGAACTCTTTCACTCATAAAAGCTTACCAACATTTAAAAATTAAATTGTTGGGGATCCCTGGGTGGCGCAGCGGTTTGGCGCCTGCCTTTGGCCCAGGGCGTGATCCTTGGGCCCCGGGGCGTGATCCTTGGGCCCCGGGATCGAGTCCCATGTCGGGCTCCCTGCATGGAGCCTGTTTCTCCTCTGCCTGTGTCTCTGCCTCTCTCTCCCTCTCTCTGTGTGACTATCATAAATAAAAAAAAATAAAAATAAAAATAAAATTGTTTACCTTCAGAAATTAAATTGGGCACACAGCAGATACTCAACAAATGTTTCCTTAGGTCTTTTTGTCCTTTATTACTCAGAGGCAACAGGACAATTACTCACTTCCTCTACTGATATCAAGAAATGAAATCTGTTTTCTTACTATTATTAACAAAGAGAAGTCCTGAAAATCTGTACTATGTTTGCTTAAGCGTTTGAATATTTTCATCCTGAATTTTTAAAAATCAGAATCCCTATCCCATTATTAGCCTTCAGGAAATAATGAATAATTAGCTGATCAAATGATGTTAGAATTCAGATGGAAGGTGTGTGTGTACTAAAACAGAAGACTAAATATCCATGAGACAGAAAACTGTTTTCTCACAGGCAAAATATTCACATTAAAATATTAATATTTGGCAGAACCTAGGACATCACATACTGACAAACTAAATTTCTTAGTATATTTCAAAGTAACACTAAAACCCAAAGACAGAGCAAAATGACACAGAGTGCTATAAGATGATGTTGCCTGTTCTGAACAATCAGCAATTAAACCAGATTTCGGTACCACAAAACAAAATGGTACACTGCAGCACGACCCCAATGACTAAAAGATGGAGAGGAGTTTAAAAAGTATATATCAGCAAAGGAAAATCCCACTATTGTTTGTAACCCTTAAGATAAAGGTGACTGAGATCCTGAGAACATGGAGTACAGAGTTTTTTCTCCATCAGAAAAAAAATATTTTTAAATCCTCATTTTCCATGTGCTTGAACATGTATTTATGAGCCTGTCAAATCTACCTTCTAGAAGTATTTCACACTGTGCTTTAGTGAATTGGATCCTGAGGCTAGAAAATAAAAATATTTTCATGGTTATCTATAGACACAGAAGGGTAATTTTCATTTGCATTATCCCTCAGAGTCAACCACCTGAAATGACAACATGCTTCAATTCCCCCACTCTACTATCTGCTCAGTACACCTCCTGGCTTACCTGCAGCCCTGGCATTAGTGATTTGTTACCCACTTGACACAAACCACAGAGCTCAAGAGTGGCCAGGTATTGAGACCAAAGTTTGAGTTCACGTCTCCAACTTGCAATAACCGAACTCGGTTTTAGACCTGGTTCTGTTTCAATGACATATCTGTTTAGGCCCTGGTGGCCATGAGCCTGGGCTGTCAACAACTGATCCAGAGCCCTGAGAAGCAACGCCCACGACCAAGGGTAATTTTCACATTAAAAATTAAGGTGCCTGCTTTCCATTCTTTGTCCAGGAACCCTGAATGGAAATTGAATGGAGGGATCCCTCCAGTAAAAGTAATGAAGTATAATGTTCCCAAAGGGGAACAGTCATGAAGTGGGCTTATCTATTTCACGTGAGGATGCCCACTTGGGCCTTAACTCCACTAAATTCAATTTAAAAAGGGAATACTTGGTTCTAGTTTGGAGTCACAAGGGGGTGGGATAGAGGGATGATTCAGATTACAGCTAACAGATATCCATCCAATGATGGAAGATTTGTGCTGACCACTCTGAACGTAACACACCCTGTGCCATTAAATCATGAAGAGGATGGTGACATCAGCCCACCCTTCACAACAAAAGACGGCTGACTCCAGAGTCAAAACCACTACTTTCCCTCTCTCATACACTTCTAAACGTATCTTCAAAGTCATGTCTATGTTAAAACCTGAAGGACACAAAAGGTCCTCTTCAAGTCATTAGGTATAATGTCCCACCTGGACAGAAGAGTGGGAGGAGTGCCCACATGCCCGACTAGGCCCGACCATGGCAGTGCACCACTCTGGATCCTGGACCCCGCTCGCCTTTCACAGCACTTCCGGCTCCGACTTTGTTAACAAGAGACCCGGGAACAGAGATCTCAGAAGTGGGTGCTCACCCAGGTTCACCATGGATGTGTGGCATCCATCAGGCCCCAGGCCGCCCGTTACCCAAGCCCAGAAACCCTCAGCCCTCGCTCCCACCTCACTGTGGCCTGCCTCTTGGGGTGACGCGGTCCCCAGGGTAGTCACCCACCTCTGCCGAGGCACACACACCCTGTTGAGCTGAACCGGGGGGGGGGGGGGTTGGGGGTGGGGTGGCGGTGAGGAGGCGCGATGCGGGGATCATGGGGGGGGCACAAAACAGAACCTGGCAGACAGAGCCAGGCCACCTCCGTGCCTTTCATTATCCTGGTTCCCCGATTAAGAAACGTCGAAATGGGGTGGGATTCTTTTTAACGGTAATAGAAAGCCAGAAAATGCGAGACAGTTGACCTTGGGAACCAACGCCGTCGCAGCGGGAAACGGAAAAGAAACACGTTGGCAAGTGAAGGGGGAGCGCAGGGCGGGGTGGGGGGAGCGCAGCGGCCGGGCCGCCGGAGGGGTGGCGGGGCGGTGGGCACGGTAGGGGGTGCTCACCGTAGATCATGGCCAGCCCGGTCTCGTGCAGAAAGCGCACCCGGCGGTGCTTGAAGAGCCAGATGGTGAGGATGGTGAGCGTGAGCAGCAGGATGAAGGTGAGCAGGCTCACGCTGTCTTGCCGGTGGCTCTCCTCCGCCTCCTTCTCAGTGGCGAGCTCCTCCATGGCGCTGCTGTCGTCGGCCGCCGCCCCAGTGGAGGCCGAGGCCGCGGCGCGCAGCCCCCGACCCAGCAGCAGTGGCAGCAGCGGCAGCAGCAGCAGCCGCGGTGGCAGCGCCCGGGCCGCCCGTCCCGGGCCGAGGCGCGCCGCGTCACCAGGCTCCATGGCCTCAGGGCCGCCCGCGCCTCCTGCGCGCGGGGACCAGCAGCCCGCGCCGTCCGTGGCTTCCCGCGGCGCAGCCGACCTGCCGGAGTGGCCGCGACCGCCGCAGCTCCTCCCCCCGCACGCCGGGCCGGGGCTGCGCAGGGAGCCACGTGGGGGAGGGGCGCGCGCAGTGCGCAGGATCCCCAAGCACCGCCCCCCGCCCGCGCACCTGTTCGGCCCCCAGCCGCGCCGCGCGCTGCCGGCGCCCTCCCGGCCGCCGAAGCCGCTTCGGCTGGGCCCCTGCGGCTCCCGGGAGCGGCCGTCAGCCGCCGGCCTCCCTGCGCTCCCTACCGGGTCCTGGCGTACCTGGCCAGGCCATCTGGGGTCGCGGGGCCGGTCCTGGGCAGTCGGCGCCGTCGCCGCGCTTCCTAAACGCAACGCCAGAGGTCGCCGGTGCCCGGCAGGAGCATCAGCTTGGATTCGCGCGCTCTGGGGCCACCGCGAAGTGTTCCACCTCTGGCCAGGGTGTGGCTGCCCGGAGCCCAGTAAAGGGCGAGGGGACCCAGGGTGGGGGGGGGTGTGGATCTGGGGGAAGCGAAGATTCGCCGTACGCCTCTCTTTCCACAGCTTTCACGGTGCCTTCCCAGACTCCGCCAGGCTTCATTCAAACCTCTGCTCTAAGTCTGTTCCAAAGTGAGGACTGAAAAGGGATTGGAATAAGGTGCAAGCGTTAAAATACCGCCTTCACCATTTGGGGAAGAGACCAACTTCTTATTTTGGACTGTGTAACTAACCCTCTTGGGGAACAGGGTTGAGCCAGAAGGAATTGAACTCTTGCTGTTCCTGCTAGATGCGTAGCAGGGGCTGAGGGTGATTACCCTGGTGGCCCTTTTATGATGACCTTATGGTAGCCCAGGGAGTCTTTGGATGATTCTTGGGGCACCTCTGAAAAAAAAATCAGAAAGTGGACTCTGGAGAATAAAGCCTCTTGGAACAATTCCTCAGGAACTAGAATTTCCAATCCATCACGGAAGAAAAGAGATTGAATTTTCTCTTTTTTAAAAAAGATTTTTAAATTTTTAGGTAATCTCTACACCCGACGTGAGGCTGGAACCTACAATCCCAAAATCAAGAGTTGCATGCTCTACCTACTGAGCCAGCCAGGCTCCCCTAGAGCGATGGAATTCTTAATCACTGAATTCCCAGTGCCTAGCGCTGTGCTCTTAAGTGTTTATTGAACTGCTCTGAAATCCTTACCAGCTGTTCATGTTTTCTCTCCCAGGGGAGTTTGCATTTTTAAGAGAATTAATTGAAGAAAGCAATGCTTAACTAAAAAGAGTAATAATAGGGTAGGGGATAGTATTAGGTAAGAAAGAGATTTGGAGCACTACAGCCTTCCTGGTTCTCCTCTAGGTGAACACTCTGCAGAGCTGCTTAGTACCTTCTCTAAAGCAGGGGAATGAATCTCTTCATCAAGATTTTAGCTAGCATTGTTCTATATTTGTCCAGGCTGTCACCTAGCCCCTGCAAAAATCCATATATCTTGAAGTTCCATGCAGGTTCCCAATGAAATCGCAAATACTAAAAACCTGTATAATCACAGAGAAAGTTGTACAGCAACAGGAAGACAATCTAATTTCTGAAGACTCACTAAAATCCACATTTGCTGAAAACTGGCCATATTGATCATAATATTTAATATTACACCCTCTTGGGTTCTATAAGTCGAGGACAGAACTTCTCTCTGCAGACTTCTTAGTACTTAGGGCAGATTGCATTTTCAAAAAAATGCCCACAACCCCATTTCCAATTGCACATGCTCTTCCAGAACGTGCCACGCCCCATCAAGAGGTAGACTGCATTCCCGCCCCTTGAACCTCAGTCGACCCTCGTGACTGCCTCAAAGAATAGAATGTGGCAATAAAGACTGCACAACTTGCGAAACCAGGTTGTAAAAGACAATCTAGTTTTGCCTGACTCATTCTCACACTCTTGCTCTCTACCCGCTTGGAACCCTGAGCTTCCATGTAAAAAATCTAGACCACAGTGAGATATCACATCACACCTGTTAGAAAGGCTATCATCAAAAAGACAAGAGATAACAAATGTGAACGAGCAGGTGGAGAAAAGGGAACCCTCATGCACTGTTGGTTAGAATGTAAATTGATACAGGCACTCTGGTAAACAGTATGGAGGTCTGTCAGAAAATTAAAAATAGAACTACCATGATCTAGAAATTCTGCTTCTGGGTATTTATCCAAAGAAAGTGAAAACAGGATCTCAAAGATATATCTTCATCCCCACGTTTATTGCAACATTATTCACAATAGCCAAGATAGGGAAATAACTCAAGTATCTGTCAACAGATAAATGGATAAAGAAAATGAGATATATATAGATATATTGAGATATGTAGGTATAGCTATATACACAAACAATGGAATATTCAGCCATGAGAAAAAAGGAAATCTTGCCATTCGCAACAGCATCAATGGATCAGTCTTGAGATCCCAAAAGTCAGTGAAATAAGTCAGGCAGAGAAAGACAGATACTGTTTGACCTCACTTATATGTGGGATCTAAAAACACTGAACCTATAGAAACAGAGTAGAATGTTGGTTATCAGGAGCTGAGAGGCGAGGTAAATAGGGAAACGTTGGTCACAGAATACAAACATACAGTTATAAGATGAATACATTCTAGGGATTTAATGCACAGTGTTGTAATTATGGATGACAATTCTATACCATATATTTGAAAGTTGCTAAGAGAGTAGATCTTAAATGTTGTCACCACAAAGAAAGAAATGCTAATTATGTGACATGATGGAGGTATTAGCTAACACCAAGGTGGTAATCATAGTGCAACATACAAGTACATCAAGTCAACACAGTGTACACCTTAAACTTACACAATGTTATGTGTCAATTATATCTCAATAAAGCTGGAAAACTTTTAAAAAGAAATCTATCTACCTTGAAGCTGCCATGCTGGCAAAACCACAGAGAGACAACATAGCAACAGAGATGGACAGTGCCACAAGAACCACAGCTTTTTTGGTGTTTCCAGCCCAAATACCACACACTTGAATGAGTGAACCTTCAAATTATTTTATTTTAAGATTTTATTTATTTATTCATGAGAGACACACACAGAGAGAGGCAAAGACACAGGCAGAGGGAGAAGCAGGCTCCGTGCAGGGAGCCCGATGTGGGACTCAATCCAGGCATTCTGGGATAACGCCCTGAGCCAAAGGCAGACACCCAACCGCTGAGCCACCTAGGCATCCCTTCAAATTATTTTATATCCAGCCACCATCTTACTGTAAGTATATGAGAGACTCTCAAGGAAGAACCACCTAGCTGAGCCTAATCAATGCCCGAGTCTATGAGATAACAATACAATGATTTATGTCATTTCAAGCTCTAAGTTTAAGTGTGATTTCTTCCAAAGCAACAGATAACCAGAAGAATATTTATAGTATAAAGTGATTGCCTCAGAGAGAGTATGAAAATATTTGTCCCAAGTATTCACAAATCTACACCAAAGAAAATGCTCAATTATCTATACATGCTTATATATGAAAACTAACGTATACAGCACGAGGGTTCCGATTCCAGTTAATACAGAATAATCCTACTCAACCCATTCTCTCCCACTGAATGCAGCTGTAAAACCTGAACAGGGAACACCTGGGTGGCTCAGTGGTTGAGCGTCTGCTTTCAGCTCAGGTAGTGATCCCAGGGTCCTGGGATTGAGTTCCACATTGAGCTCCCCATGGGGAGCCTACTTCTCCCTCTGCCTATGTCTCTGCCTCTCTGTGTGTCTCTCATGAATAAATAAATGAAATCTTTTTTAAAAATGAACATAACACGTGGATCAGCTATTTGAGGACTCTAGAAAATAAATTGGACCAGGTAAATTGAGGAAGAGCACCAGAATTTGAACTGAAACAAAAGGCAGTGAGTTTACCATTTCTTTCCCCTCCAGTAGCCACTGGACTGAACTCAAGGCAGCCCAAACTCAGAAGAGGACATGGACAGAGAGAGCACAGGAATAGCGGAAAACAGACCTCCTGATGTTCGGGGAAAGTAGGCAAGTACAGCAATTTTTCTTTTTTTCGTTCTTTCACACCCTTGCCAATAGGAATTCCCCCATTGCAGCTGAGTCAATGGTGACAATGGAGGGAGCAGTGCTGTCAAGTACCTAAGATGCTGACAGAAGGGGGAACCTTCCTCTCTGGTTTGGAATAGCCTTGGTCCCAAGACAGTGGGACCACTGATAGACCTTCTTCTCTCTGTGTCCTCCTGCTGCTTGGCTTTAGACATAGGTGAAGTTGCAGGAAACACATGCCAGAGAGAAGTAAATAAAGACTCATTTCTTGCCAAAGGACTGAAAAGAGGAACACCAAGGAACTGCAAAGTCCCAGGGAGATTTTGGAAGGGGAACAACTTGGGAGAGCCCTATAGATTTGTTTATGAGCTCCTAGTTCGCCCTAACCTGCAAGTGGATCTTATCCTAAACAGCATACTGAAGACTGTGAAAACTGAACTAAGAAACAGATCACCACCCAGATCTGAAACTAACCATTGGATAAAACACTTGTGGTACAAATCAAAATAGTACTGCAAAATATTTGAAGACTGAATTGACTTTGGAGCCATGATCCACAAAAGGCAGACCTTGTGAAAGAACTTGTGATCTAGACCCAACCATGTTGACTAAAGCTCAAACAAAAATAGGAGGAATATTCCATAGGAGGAATATGAACATAAGACACAAGGCCCCCCCAAAAAAATAAAAAATAAAAAATAAAAAAAAGACACAAGGCCCCATAACATAATATTAAAAATGTCCAGGAAAAAGCACAAAATTATTCAGCACATGAAGAACATGAAGATCTCAACTACTAAAGGCAATCAATCAAAAGACACCATTGGGGATCCCTGGGTGGCGCAGCGGTTTGGCACCTGCCTTTGGCCCAGGGCGCGATCCTGGAGACCCGGGATCGAATCCCACGTCGGGCTCCCGGTGCATGGAGCCTGCTTCTCCCTCTGTCTGTGTCTCTGCCTCTCTCTCTCTCTGTGTGTGA